GTTCATTTTCAGAACAAAGTTTAATATATTTTAGATTTAGTCCGAGAGCTTTCTGTCCCTCCATTGAAACTGTATATTTGGTATACTGTTCTTGTCCAGAAAGAGAATAGAGACATCATCAAAGTAGTCCACGTGACACCAGTGGGTTAGTTAGAATGTTTTGAAGCATCGAAAATACATTTTGGTCCAAAAAATAACAAAAACTACGACATTATTCTGCATTGTATTGTCTTCCGTTTCTGTTGTCAATCCACTTCAGTGATGCTGATGACGCAAGACGCTGCTGACGTGTGTCCGTGTATTCGAATAAATATGGCTGGGCAAAAAAATGCAAGTCTTCCTCTGTGTCGAAATACTTAGACATGTTTGCGAAGATTGTTTTGTTTACAGTGTGCATCTCCCTCAGACTGTAAACGAAGCTCGGGCACACTGGTAACATGTCAGCAGCGTCTTACATCACCAGCGTCACTGAACGCGGCTCAACAACAGAACCGGAAGACAATACAATGCTGAATAAAGTTGTATTTTTTGTTATTTTTGGACCAAAAAATTATTTTCGATGCTTCAAAACATTCTAACTAACCCATTACTGTCACATGGACTACTTTGATGATGTCTTTATTGCCTTTATGGACAAGAACAGTATAAGGTACATACGAAGAGTTCAGATGCAAAAGCCTCTAAGTGCCATTTGAAATTTTCTTCTAGAATGATCATTTTTATCAAGCTTGTATATTTAAGTTCAGTAATTTCACTTAAATGGCAATGAAGATTACCTATTAATTGCCATTTAAGTGAAATTACTGAATTTAAATATACAAGCTTTTCTAGAAGAAAATTTCAAATGGCATTTAGAGGCTTTTGCATCTGAACTCTTCATACATTTTCAATGGAGGGACAGAAAGATCTTGGACTAAATCTAAAATATCTTAAACTGTTACGAAGATGGAATGACATTGATGATATCATTTTTGGGTGAACTAACCCTTTAAATATTAACTTGAGGACAAGCTAACCGAATCATTGAGTCTGAGTTGAAAGCATGAATCAGATAATATTTGATTCATGAACAAATCATTGTGAAAATATCAGCTCAAATTACAACTTGATCGCTTGAACAAAATGATGGTGAATAAATGATTTTTCATTTCTAAATTTTAATTTCAAACATACCTGTCAGTGACGGCTTGCATGAACTCATCAATGAGGTCATCGTATTCTTTGCCCCTCACTCTTTTGTGCTTTAAGCCGATGTACAAGGGGTCATCCAAGAGGGTCTAAACAAAAACAAACAGAAATGGGTTAAAAGACGACAACAGGACAACCATGTTTGTAAATCCAATAAACAGAGTTCAGTTTTACAGTGTACACTAACATGTTTGGGGATTCAGCAATGATCGATTAAATTGATCAAACATGGGGATTCAGCAATGATCTATTAAATTGATCAAAATACATTTATATTGTTACAAAAGATTTCTATTTCAATGAACTTTCTATTCATCAAAGAGTCCAGAACTAACATATTACACAAAAAATATAATAATATTTTTTAACATTGATAATAATAAGCATTGTTTAGTGAGCACCATGAGCATATTAGAAGGAATGACTTCTGAAGAAATGTGACGCAGAAGACTGTAATGGCTACATACAAATGGATGCTTTAAAAAAAAAAAAATTAGCGATGCAATCACAGGAATAAAATGCATTTTAAAAACAGATTACAACAGAAAGGTGTTATTTAAACATTAATATTATTTTACAATATTACAGTTTTTACTGTATTTTTTGATCAAATAAATGCTACCTTTGTGCACATAAAAGACTTCAAAAACACAAAATCTTGCCGTTTGACAGTAGTGTAATTATGCTAATCTCGTTTACCTGATTATCAGTGCCAACATCTAGCAGCACAGGCAGGCACTGCTGAGGTGGCACTCCTCCACATGCTGTATACAGAGCTAGTTTGCCCACTGGGATGCCCATTCCATGGCCACCCAGGTCTCCTAAGCCCAGGATTCGCTCTCCATCCGTCACAACTATGGCCTATCAATGCACATACAATGAAACGTCCATCTACTGGCACTGAATGACATTTTATCACTCTTTATGACTCTGCACATACCTTTATGTCCTCCTCCGGCCATGAGTTCAACATGGTGGCAATATGCCCCTTGTCATGGATGGTGATAAACAACCCTCTAAAGAAAAAAAAATAATAAATCAAAACCACGTGTTCCTTATATGTCCGTTTTTTTTCCACCCATGCAGCTAAGTAAAACTGGTTGGACTGCTCTGAGTGTATATAAGCATTTGATTCAGAATTGGTCTGGCTAAACCAGTCGTTCCAGGTCTAGAGAATGTATATACCTCACCTTGGTCTTCTGAAAGCAAAGCCGTACTGTTGGCAGGCCAGGCCCACAGTAGGAGTATAGACAATTGGCATAAATTCTTCAATGTCAGAGGTCAACACACGATAGAAAAGCTTCTCATTCCTGTCCTGCAGAGTCATCAGCAATATGTATCTGTAGAGTTAGAATGGTTATTTTGAGTATGAATTGGAAATGGACCAACTAAAGTATCATCACTGTGCTTTTCATTGACATGGCTCAGGCTGAGTTTATCCTGAATGTTTCAACGAAGTTTGGTTACTTGTCGAGGGGGTTACTGCGTGTCTCGTAGCTCTTCATGACACGAAGCACTTGGACATCCTGAGAAAGGAAACAAGGAGGAAGAAGGCCATGGATTCCCAGCTGTAACCTCTCCTCCAGGGTGAACGCCATGCCCTGTTAACCATAACTTCATTAACAACATGTGACAGCTGTGAACGTAAAAGAAAAATGCACATTCATCCTACAGTTTGGTTGGAATACAAATTATCACCCTGCAAGAGTGTCTGCCCTGGGCAAACTTCCAGCTTAGGGTAGATGCATCACATGTTGGATCTATTTATTTCTGACCAATGGGAAGTAAGCATGGCCACCCTCCCCTGTTAGATTCTCCACTCACCGTTTACTTCTAACAGTTTCCATTTGCCAAGGCTTTTAAGTTCTACACTTTTTAATCATACTCATTCCTTATCCTGCATCTCATTCTGACTTCTGATACAGAATGCGCAAGCAACATTTACAAGAGACATTTCTATGAACCACCCAAAAGTGCTTTCCAAAACTCATGAGTCATATCCTACAACAATCCTGAACTGATTTTAAGAAGGATATGAGCATCCACTCTTAATGATTCATGCTCGTTGGTAGGGGTTAAAGTCAGACTTTGCCTCTTCACAATGCTACTTTCATATTTTCTTATCTCTGGGGACTTTAGCATAACTAAATGTTATAAAATCACATCAAAGCACCGGCTGCTGACAATCCAATACCTGCTTTGTCACGTAGATCACACCCTAAAGATGCTTACTTTGTTCAAGTGGGGGTTCCTGGTGATATCATAGCCTCGTTTTTTGGTGAAGACAGTGACCTTGGAGTTCACACCTGTGTGACAGACCCTCACTGTCCCTATGATAGCAGGAGGAAGTGACAGGGGACTGGAGAAAACCCTGCACAGTGCCAGCACACTCTTGCCCGAGAGAGAGTTCATGATTCCTGCAAAATGAGAGAATTTAGGTTCAGAGAGAATTCTTTTGGAAATTTCATTATGGTATAATCCTGGTTTCCACCCACAAAACCTGTTAAGACAGGCTGTATCTTAAAAAAATAGTCTAAACAACAAGCAGATAACCAAGTAATCAGTATTTTCAGTTTCAAATTAGACAAATCTACCCGTTTTAGTAACTTTTTGCAACTGGTCACAGTTCACACTGGTTTAATAGATGTTTGTTTTTTGTTTTTTACTGGTTGGCCACCTCAGAGCTCAACAAACCAGCTTTTAGATGTTCAAGCTGTTTTTTTAACGATCATCAAACTAATGACCAGCTACTCTACTGTAACAAAGTAAGATGAGTTCTCCAACAAAATGATTTTACAGTAATAAGAATTACTGTCATAGCAATCATAAACTGTGTTCAACGTGTTAATTTTAAAAATATTTGTATTATTATTATAAAGGGCTGCCGTGGTGCACAGAATAAAGCACTAATGTTTCCGTAATAGACTACACATTTGGCAGGTTCAGCAACTTCGTCCTCTACCATTGTAAACAAGGCCTTTAGGTAGAACACATATAGCCACACAAATGCGTTATGGATGATCTGTAAGTTAGATGTTCACCACGCTTTTTCCGTTGAACAACAGTAACGTTTGAGACCAAATGCACATTACGTACAGCGAGGCTCATCATAAGCATTGGCATTGTTCTGCAAGACATTTGTTTCCAAGCAAAGCCGCGTACCTGAGAACAGCAAGTCCACCGGGACCTTTTGCTTCACTAGGTTTAATCCAAACGCTGACCTGCTGCTGCGGCTGCTGCCTGTCTCCACTGACCAGCCTTATCTGTAAATGATGTTGGGATAACGATCCAGGTTTGTTTAACATTGACACTTTTGCTTCCCAACGCTCTTGTATTGGGCCCGCCCCCACTTGGACAGAAGTAGCCAATAGGATAAGGCGATGCGAGTGACGAAGCTATAAACGGAAAATGTGTTGGCTAGTCTTGTCATTCTTTTGTTTCTTCATTTTTTTTATTTTTATTTTTTTTACTATGTTTTTTCTTCACTTCAAAACTTTTTTACAGTCTATGCTTCAATGTGGCCTATGGTTTGCATATAGAATGTGTAGAATAAAAGGACACTTAATCGTTTACGTCGCTCGGAATCGATTCAAACATGATCAACTGAGATGGCACATTCAAACTTATAAATTAAGTTGTATGGTCAATCTTGCACAAACATACAAAAGACTCCATAAATTGCGTATTCTGTACAGCAATAGGCCTATAGTTAAGCATTTTGATATTATTAACAAACAATTTTAATTGACAGTGAAAAAGTGCACATTTCTGCATTAATGGCATGTTGGAAAGTATTCAAAAGATCGAAAATCTTAAGTTTAAAACTTGTAAAAGTAACTTTATTTGTTAGCAAGACAATCCAAATAACTCTTTTTTTACATATATATTGGAAACCGTAGGTATAGTTCTTTTGAGAAGGTGTTAAAAAATGGCACTGCTCTTCTTTTAAATGCAATAACAGTAGCCTATTCACATAGTCAAATATAAAAGTGAAATCTTCCCAAGGATTGCATCTGGATAACCGCATCATGAAAGACAACAAATAAAGCAACTAAACCAATATTAAAACTACTCTAGACAAAGACTAACTAAAAGCAAACAGAAAATCTAAATGAACCAAAGAGTTTTTATTTATGTACAACCTTCATTGAAGTGCCATCTATCTAGTCTCTGTAAACTGTACTGATCAAATACAAAAAACCTTGCTGTGGTTAATAACTAAACAATGTAGCTACAGTGAAAACAGTGAAAAGTTAAAAAAAATCAATTTAAAATACATAAAATGTTTTTTGTTTTAATTAAAGATGATGATGATGTACAGTGCATTTACAGTCTTTCAGGGGTCTATTACAGGCCATCTATGATCAATCTTATGCTTTCAAAGGAAAATTACCCTTCCTTTAATTCTTGTTCTAAAATGCAACATTAGTCCCAATAACAGTAGTCCAGTAGACATTCATTTGTAGATAGTCGGTAATGACAGGATCAGGCTGGAAATGAAGAACAAGGACTCAGATCACAACGCTCGTACCACTGCGAGAGCTCTTATCCTGTAAGAGAGAGATTTATGATGAGAAAAACAATAACAATTATTTATATGCACTTTTATTCATTTAGAAGACACGTTTTTATAGAAAGTGACAATAAAACACTAAAAATGTTATATTTTTATTCAAATCATGTCCTCTCATGTCAGTAAACCCAATGGATAGTTTTATATTTTAGAGTTCACCCATAAATTAAACGTCTGTCATCATTTACCCTCATTTCATTCACCTGTATGACTTTCTTCTGAGGAACACAAAAGATGATATTTTAAAGAAAAGTTTTTTAATGCAAAACAACTTATTTTGTGTTAGCAGCAGAAAGAAAGTCATACAAGTTTGCAATACATGAGGGTGAGTAAATGATGACAGAACTTTCCTTTTTGTGTGACCTATCCCTTTTATTTGTGAGAACAGTACCTCTTAGTGATGAACGAATCAGAAATCTACATTCTTACCGAAAAGTGGTCGCTCCTCCTGCTGCGACCAGGCAAAACGTCAATGGAAGAGTAAGCTGGCGGTTTCTCAGTCAATCTCCCTTGAGATTGCTTTCCCTTTCTATAACTGTCGTCCTCGTCTGAACTCCAGGAGCCCCTGCGCGGTGAAGGCGAATAGCTCCTGTCTCTAGGGTTTGTCGCACGCTCCAACTCCTCCAGCAGCTCCCCTTTACTGCGAACACGTGGATTAGACCTATCTGAAGCTCCCCTGCGTCCTGCTGAACCTTGACCTCCACGCCTATCATCCCTGTCCGACTCCTCGCTGTAGCTGCGTGGGATCCCTCTCCGTGAAGATGCCGGCTCCCTCCAGGAATTATCACGATGATGACCATTATGGACAGAGCTACTGCTGGACTGACTAGATTGCCGGGTTCTTCCACCATCATTGGGCCGCCGAGAGCTTTGTTTCGCCCGGCCCACGATGGGAGGCAGCTGGATGACCCTGCGCTCCACACCTTGGACACCCATCTCGTCCAGGGCTGAGAGCATGCTGGGCGGCCTGGCTGAAAAAGACACTTGTTGTATAGGTTGAGGTGGTGGCGTTACATATTGGGGTTGTGGGGCTGCATATTGATGTTGAAGGTTTTGGTGCGGGACTCCTGTGTAGTGATGTTGAGGTTGGAGCATCGGGACGGCCATATCCATCCCTCTTACTTGGGTCTCCAGAAAATCTAACACCTGGTTATTGCCATGTACACTTCCATTAATGCTGCCATTGGCCTGGTATCCATGCTGAGGTACGAATGGTGGGACAGGTTGAGGGGCATAATTAACCATTGGGGCCATTTGAAGTTTGTGTTTAGATGAAGGTTCAGAAAAAGATCCTGTAGAGAACATTTTATTAGCGACACTCTATTACTGTTCTTTGATGCAGCTACAATGTTATTAGCAGATATTAGTAAGATAAGATAGCAAAAAAAAAGATAAAAAAAATAATAAGATAAAAAAAAAATTGTATGAAAGTAAAACTGACCTGAATAAAGCAAAGGGTTCCCCTGAGAAGATGCATTTGAGGCAATGGGGGCATAGATGGGCTGGCCATGGAGCCATGGTACCATTGCTTTTTGAGCGTCACGCATCATTTTGTGGCGCATCATCGCTTAAAAGACAAATTAAGAAATATTTTACTGCATTTAAATACAATAAAACTTTATAGGATGGGCTGTTTAATAATAAAAAGGTTATTATAATAATAATAACATCTTATTATTTAAAAGAATACATATACTTATTATCATAGTCTACCAGTTGTATACATGTATATATGTGTGAGTATATATATATAACTCAATTATTATGTGGAGTCAGTAATCAGTAGACATTTATATTAAGAAACTGATAACCAGTAGAATTAGAACACTGTGAATATATGTAACATTGCCTAGTGTGATTGATGGACAGACAAAGACACTTCAATGCGGGTGAATACCTTCTTCAGGGCAGCAGCAAGTACGAGGACAGCAGGGACATCGGACATAGCAGCAGCAGTTCTGAGGACAGCACTGGCAGCAGCAGATACAAAGCAGCATGATCAGGAGCAACGCCCCAAGGATGATGAGCAGCACAGTCAGCCAGTCTGGGAGGAAGAGGGCATGTGACCTTAACAGCCTCTATAAAGGTTTTTTTTGGTTTTCGGTGTGTTAATACTTACGATATACTACAAGTCTGATTTCCTTGTCTGAGTCCCCTACAACATCACCTGCTGCGTCGATGGAGCAGAAATACATGCCGTTGTCCCACCACATGACCTCATTGATAACCAGGTCTGCATCTGTTAAACACACATACAAAAACATAAGACTATAATGAATTGTATGCGTATATATATATATATATATATATATATATATATATATATAATGAATTTTCTCTGCACTCAAAGCGCTTTACATAGAAATGTGAAACTCCTCAACCACCACCAATGTGCAGCATCCACCTGGATGATACGACGGCAGCCATATTGCATCAGAAACAGCTTATTGGTGGAGAGGAGAGAGTTATGAAGCCAATGAGTATACAGGGATGATTAGGAGGCCATGTTGGACAGAGGCCACTGGGCAGTTTGTGCCAGGAAGATACTGGGGTTACAACCCTACTCTTTTAAAAGACATCCAGTTATTTTTTTGTGACCACAGAGCTGGATCTGGGTTTAACGTCTCACCCAAAGGGCCGTGCTTTTTGACAGTATAGTGTCCCCGTCACTATAATAGGGTGTTAGGACCCACACATATGAAGGTAAAAGAGTAGCAAAACTTGAAAACATGTAGATGTGAATTTGAGAACTTGTACAATAAATATTCATACTTGTACGCTAAAATATACTCAACCAGTCTTGGGCTACAGGGTGAAATGGTTTCTGGCTTCTATATATATATATATATACACAATGGATTCCTCTCTGTCTGAGGAATCCATTGGCCAGCAGCGTGGACGACATATCTAGCCTTTATATAGATATCTATGCCTTTAACCCTCTAAGTAGAGTACCTTTAATTGTTCTGACTATTATTTAATAAATCAGGCTTTACAGGGTAAAAACAATTTTCAGACTCACTGTTTTGTATGGAGATCTTGCGCTCTCGATACTCTGGCCCCAGGGTAGCTTCACCCATGCCTCTTTTCTGAACCACTATGCGGACAGTGCGCTGACTGTCTGGACAATCATTGGCTGGGTCTTGCTTCAGACCCAGAGCTGCTTGATATGCTGAAGAAACAGAGAACCGCACAGGGTCACATCACCACGTCACGCTCACCAAAGCTTTGCACACAACAGTTTTGCAGCACTCGGCCTTCTATATTCAATTCACCCTCACCAGCTGAATAGTATTCCAGCACTGGATCCAAACAGAAGGACTTGTATCGCCATGTGACCAGGACATCTTGAGTGTTTGCAGAGGTGGAATAGTCACAGCGCAGAGTGACAGAAGCAAACAGCATTGTGGTTCTCTCTGTCTGAGGAACATTAACCTGGATAGACAACAACCCTGGGAGAAGAGGGAGAGAGATCCATAAACATACTGCTTACATCAGGGTTCCCATAACTTTTTGCCAACGATTTTCCATTATTTTTTCCAGTCATTATTATTTTTATTATTATTATTTTACTCACAAATAACTATTTTTAACCAAAGAACTATTTTAGAGCTGAGCATAAAAAATAATAATAAAAAAAAACATAGGCTACTATTACAATTTGGAGAGATTGCATTAATTACTGTGACTGCTCCAGGGCTGAAAAAAGCAGTATTTTCATATATAAAAAGAACGAATATATAAAAAAAGAATGGTTTCATATATAAAAAGAATGGTCCAATAAAATATAATGTAAATAATATTAGCTGGCATTGAGCTTATAAATCACGTGATCGGGTTTATCGACCTGTCATGTTTGCACTTGCTGATCATTAACCTCGCCACTTACAGAATTTACAGAAAATATTTTAAAATAACCATGATAATAAACAGTACCAAAAATTCCAGTTTAACTACTGTTTTCCAGTTTAAGTTTTTTTAATGCTTTATTTAAACATTCAGTTTACAGAGTAAAACAACATAATAACAACAACAACATAATAGCACAAAAAAGAAGTTACACAACGATAAACAAGAAAATAAAAAATAAAAAGAGGGCAATACATAGATGAACAGTTTAAGTTATTTTGAATGGCAACTTACCTGTTGGAAATACGCACAACACGAGCGCAAACACCTTGAGCTTCAGCGTTTCTTTCATGTTTCTCGGTTACACGGAAGTTTTTTCCTTTACTGTATTTTTCCAGAACACATCCACATCTTATTTTTGCGACTCAGTCAAATACAGACAATACAACGACAATCGCCATCATGAGTAACGTTACATCCAGAAATCTTCTTATTTACCTATTTATCCTCTCGAAAAAGTAAACACCTTTGCTCTTTGCTAGTTCGATTACCCTCCCCCATTCCACGATGACGTCACACAAACTCCACCCATCAACAGGTGCATAAACACCGAGAACAAAACAAGTTAGGTCATTATTTTATTCTATTAATGGTGATTAATTAGTGATTATTGTTCAAAATCAAATTCTTGTTTTTCAAATTGACATTATTCGTATTATCTGTTTCATCTTTCAAAAAATGTTTCATCGTTTACTTTATTCGGTTGAATGAGAAAAAAAATTGTTGGTATCATTTTTCACATTTAACCACCAGGGGGCGTAACTTGATAGAAGATTAGGCTTTTATCTCAATGCTTTATTTAGTAACGAACCAAAAGTATCCTTATCCCTGTAAAACCATGCAGCCAACAGACAAGCCTGTTTAGATGTGGAAGAGACCAGCAAACCAGCTCAGACCAGCTTAGACTGGGTGATTAGGTAAGTTAAACTAATTCTAGCTCTAATTCTGAAGCTGTGTTCATTCAACTGTAAAATGCCACACATTATTATTAATATGGCGATTTGCGACGTTTTTGTTTGCTAAAAACTGCCTAAACATCTTATTTGCAGTGATTTTTATTTTTTTTTTATTAATCGTAAATAATAATTTTATAAATAACTTTTAACTATAGCACAATGTATGACTGCGTGTATGAAAGGATACTGAGATTGAGCATACAGTTTGACCACTAAACACCTGTGAGGGCTCGTATCAGATTGTTTCCTGGTATTGTAATCTCATCCTGTAAAGAAGCATCCTTTCCTTTACTGTGTCCTGTTTAGTTTCCTGCTTGGCCTTGATTTTGTATTGGTGAGGGAAATGTATTATTTGTTTTCCTTAATTTTGAAGCAAGAGCAAGAAGGGTCCATGCCCTGAGATGAAAAGGATCAGGGATATTTTCTCAAGAAATGCTATCTGAAAATAAATAAATAAATAATTTAAAGTGTTCATAGGTCGAAAACAAGACCTCACTATTTTGGTGTCCACATCGAATTAAATTTTTATACATAAAAAAAACATTCAATTCAAATAAAGTGTCTACTTTCATGTTTTACTTTTGCGAAAATAAAATGTCAAAATATAGGCTAGGTGAACTAATGTTCCAAAGTGTAAAAATGTAATTTAGTGTAATGGTCCGCACATTGATTTTACCCCCATGTCTTTAAATAAACATTGAATACATGTTTTCTAAGCATTTTTAAATACGTTTTGGCTGTTATTTTAAAATGACTATGTCTTATTGGGTATTATTTTAAGTGATGAAACAACCTGGTGAATTTTGTCCCAAATATGTTTGTTAGAGCAGTGTAAAAGGATCAAGAAGCCATTCTGAAATAATAATTAACCATTTTTTACCAAACCAGTCAACAGGCTGTGGCATTATTTAAAAGGCACCCTGAAGATCCTTTGGCACTGCTGAAAAGTTTACTACTTTTTGATAATTTCACCTTTACATTGTGTTAACCTAATTAAACCACTCAAAAAAAAAAAAAAAAAAAAAACCTTTTTATTCGGTGTATTGCAAAATCTCTCTTACACCACAATGTCACCCATTACACTGAATGACAGTATCGCTGTATAGATGATTTTAGCATCATTATTATTTAATGGTATTTTTGTATTGTTTTATTGATTTATTTTAGATGCATTATCAGAGAGAGTTATAAAAAGCCCCAAAAATAAATGCAGACCCAGTAGCGTGGGCAGCAATTTTAGTAAGAAAATGAGAATTTATTGAGGATTGCAATTGTCAGAATAATAGCTTACTAATATTTCTGAAAAGAGTTATTTCTGAACGTTCAAGAGAGGCCATATAGGGTATTCTCCACCCAAAATACCATCCTGGTAAAGTTATTTAGTGGCAAACAGAAAGTATTCATAAATATAGCTGCAAGGAGTAATTTTTGAAGCTAAGCAAGTCCGAAACAAAGTGACAAGCCAAGCATGGAAGGGAGCATCAGAACAGTAGAATAAAATGCTTTTTGTTTTTCAACATTGGCTTCTGACATCATTTACTGGCAAAATGTCATTATAACAAACCATAATAATTCATTGTAACAGATTATTCATGTAAAAATGAAACAATATACTTATTCTGACCTGAACTTTTTAAAATATACAAAACAATATAAATTGTGTTATATTTTAAATTATCGTTACTTCCTTACAAGTGGGTAAAACCTATTGGTTTGAAGGATAGTGGCAGTGTAAACTGTAAAGATATATATATATAAAAATACAGATAATAGTTAGTATTTGGGGACTTCACTGTGATCCTAAAATAAGTATTGTCATCAAATGATTTTTGTTTGAATAAAAATGTATTTTTTTGGTATATATAAACTATTGTTACACTGAGTAACATTTTGTGTCTTCTGTGAATCATGGTAAAGAAATGTATGCGTAATTTCCTTTGCTCAGAAAAATCTAAAAACAAACTAGACACATCCTAATGTATGGGGTGGTGAACAAAAATGTTTATTTAATGTACTACACTTATTTTTTTAAACATTTCAAACCCCCTTTTCGTCTTTGACCCTCATATCAAAATTATTTTAAAACTATGTATTAAAAAAATGGCACATTTTAAAAAGCACAATGCATGCTTCCCTTGAGAGTCAGCCAACTGATGAACACTGACACAAATGTAAAGTACAGTGCAAACAAAGGCCATATTGAAATATCCCATTACAGTACTGAAGATATACAAAATACAAAGGAATGTTTATAACACTTGAACATCATCTGAACCATTTTAAAGTCCTTAACTTTAGTGCAGTCACAGTCTTGAGGACTAATGAAGAAAGTAGGTCATAATTAAGCAATGTAGAAAAACAGACACACACAGAACACATACGTTCATGCCCGTGACCAGCAAAAGTTCTTAATCTCTTCATGTCTGTGTGATCCTGCATAAAATGTGTCTTGCTGACAGATTGTTGCTTAGTGTCTGGGGCATTTCTCTTCAGCTTGATGGTGATGTTATTAGTATGATGTCAGCTCAGTCTGAGGACGTCACACAATTAGAGAGTCTCTGCTTAGATGAGTGGTCTGTTAAAAAACACCAAGAGCCACACATTAGACTCCCATTAGCATTAGTTCGCAGGTGCATTGTTAGTGTGCCAGTGTAATGCAGTACTTACAGCCCATTAGAGTTAGTGATGCCATTTATGGCACATTCAGGCAAACAGAACAAACACATAAACCCTGGCTGAGAAATCAACCTTTTTGATGATTCAAAGCAGACTTGCAAACATTCTTGTAAAGAATATGATTTACATTTCAGCATACACACACACAAATAAAACATACTGTACAATTAAAATCATTTCATATTCAGATCTCTCTGAGACACTCTTTGGAAAATAAATGACATAAAAATACAAAAAAAATACAAAAAAATCTAGGCTGCTGTAGATGCAGTCTAATCTATTGGAAGAACTGTATGTTTCTTCCGATTTAAAAATAGGTAATTGTAATTCGCAAAAGCTAATTGTGAGATAAAATAAGACATAGTCACATTGTGAGCTATAAAGTCATGATTTTTAGATATAGCCTAGCCACAATTGCAAGAAATAAAGTTTTATTTCTATATTCTTTTATTATATACACTATTGTTCAAAAGTTTGGTTCGGAAACTTAGGCTCACCAAGGCTACATTTATTTGATAAAAAAAAAAAATACAGTGAAAACTGCAATATTGTGAAATATTATTGCAATTAAAAATAACTATTTTCTATTTTAATATATTTGAAAATACAATTTATTCCTGAGATGGCAAAGCTGAATTTTCAGCAGCCATTACTCAACAGTTTTAAATTACCGGTAACAAAAACTGTCTGAAGGAAAAAAAGTCTGAAGGAAATTCTGTTACAAATATCAAAACAAGTAGCTACAAAATAAACATAATTTTACCCGTCAGTCTTAGCTCCTCAAATTCTGAAGCTGTAAGAACAAGTTTTATATGTAAATGTAATTGTTGCCCTTTTATTGCAGGGAATGGTACTGAGAGATGTTGCAAGCTGGATTTGACCTTGCATATCTCAAAAGGCCACAGTTCTGAGAAGTGCATGATTTTCTGAAACTGATGTTGGGACTCGTAGGATTTTCAGATTGTGATTCGTTCATGTCTGGTGAGTTGAGATGTTTTTTTTTTTTTTTTTTGACAAGATACAGCTTGTTTTCAAGGACAGAACACTTATTTGTGCTGTTTAACTTTACATTTCCTATTAATGGAATCTCAGACATCTCTTCTTTTTAGGCTTGGAGAAAGTTTATTCCACCCTTTAATGTACAGAAACCAGGGCAGACCGTTATAAGTAACTCACCAGTTTCCTGGGTTTGTCCCTGTCCTCCCTGCGCTCCTGTAGAGTATGGGACCGGTCTTGAGCCGGACGTGTGTATGAAAAAGGGCGCATGCCTGGATCAGCAGTCCTGTACCGGTCTCTCCCTAAATGCTCTTCAGTTCTAAACCTCTCCACCTCCCTCTCAGAGTACGGTGGTAAAGAGTCATCCTCCTCGGGGCGATTGCTTGGTGACCTGCTTTGGTAGCAGTCACTGCTCTTCTTGGAACTGCCTTTTGAAGGAGTGTCGCTGTCATCATCCGCCCTCCCACCCCGCTCTCCGTGGCCCCTAGCCTTGCGCTCCAGTAGAGTGTTCAGGTAGGTTTCGTCATACGACCTCTGGCGAGCAACATAGCGCTCACTGCCGCCTGCGTCACGTCTTTTTGGTGGGGAAGGTGGCGAGCCTCGACGACGCCAGTTGTTGTCGTCATCCTCACGAGAATATCGTGGCCCGTCTCTGTATGATGTGGGATAGTCCCGCGACCTTGGAACCATTTCAAAGTCTCGCTGAGGTCCACGAAAATCACCTCTTTGTCGACCGTGTGGGCCATATGAAATAGCAAACTCTTCCAGCTCATCTAGTGACCCCGTGCGGCCCCTGCCTTCAAAGGCTTTGCGTGGCAGGTGCTCAGAGCGACAGTTCCACCTGCATAAACAAACAGTCATGATATTATTAGTGTTACTACTTTATACTATGT